GGCAGCTTACACACCAATGCCGGCGCGGTGGAACCCGTTGGGTGGCGTCGCTCACCTGGATCCCCACCGGCTCACCACACGGCGTTACTGCTAGACCGTTCTCAGATCCCTAGCATCCAGGCTTTTCTCGCAGCGTGGGCCGTGGAGGCCCCCGGGGGTCTCGCCCGTGGACCATACAGGAGGGAGGAACGAAGATAAGGAGGAGGAGGAGGAGGAGGAGGAGGTCTCGACCCATTCACCGGGAACGAACTGTCGCATGAACGTTGTCTCATTCGGCGTTTCGACATTGGGCGGAAGGGAGGGGGAGGCGGGGGGTTTGGTTCCAGACCTCTGCTCAATGCGACTGTCTGCAACAGTGCGTCCTGTGGGGGAGGCTCGATCTGATTGAAACAGGCGCCCCAAATAGCCAAGATCTACTCATGGGTGGGGGAGGAGCGAGGGCAAAACAATGAATAAGAAACCGACATGCTGATCATCAAAAAAATTAATAAGGGCCCGGCCGATCAGCCACACATGCCAACAATTCGTTTGACGAGCCCATGGTCTGGCGAGGGCCCCCAGGTTTATGGTGCTCCCACCGTACTCTGAGGAGCACGTCCCAGAAGTAGCCTCGAGTACCCAGAGACGTATCGAAACGGTGTCTGCCCGACACGTCAGCGAAATGTCGAACGAGCATCGCCCCCCAGGGCCCGACACGAGAAAAAAACATCCGAGAGAGCGCGCCCACAGGGCCCGAGTAAAGGGGAGGGGGGGCTAGGCTTAAGCTACCCCCCCCCTCCCTTGAGCCGCCCTTGTTGGAAGCACCCCCCCCCCTCCCCCCTTTTTTTTGCAAGGGGGGGAGCTTACAGCTACCCCCCCCCCTCCCCCCTTGGGCCCTCCCCGGAAGTTACCCCCCCCTCCCCCCCTTTCCAAAGGGGGGGGGGGTGCTTAAGCTACCCCCCCTCCCTTGGCGCCGCCCTGCTGGAAGCTCCCCCCCCCTCCCCCCCTTTCGTGCAAAGGGGGGGGGGGCTTGGAAGCTACCCACCCCCCACCCCCCTTTGGCCGCCCCGGAAGCTACCCCCCCCTACCCCCCCCGGGGGGGTGCTTAAGCTACCCCCCCCTCCCTTGGAGCCGCCCTGCTGGAAGCTCCCCCCCCCTCCCCCCCTTTGTGCCAAAGGGGGGGGGGGCTTGGAAGCCCCCCCCCCCTTCCCCCCTTTGGCCGCCCAGCCCCCGGAGCCTCCGCCCTCCCTTTCGCCGACGATCCAAAATGAACAATCCACGATCGAGGATGGACGATCGACGATCAACGATCGACGATCGAAAATCCCAATCGAATCGCTTGCAATCGATTGCACTCCATTCCACTGCAATCCCCCTCCCCACCTCCCTCCGCTCCCTCCCCTCCCTCCCCACCCTTCGTTCCATCTCCTCCCTCCCCTCCCTCTCCTCCCCTCCCTCCCTTCCGTCCTGTCCCTCCCCTGCAATCCAATCGATTGAATCGATTGCAATTCAACCGATTGCAATCCAATCGATTGCAATCCAATGGATTGCAATCGAATCGTTTGCAATCCAATGGATTGCAATCGATTGCAACGCAAGTGTATCATTCAACTCGTCCCGTGCCAACGCCCGGGAACGAAAAATTACCCTGGCGACGTACCCAACCCCTGCGCAAACGCGGGGCGCAAATAGTTTAGGACACTTTATAAGGGGGGCGATGACGGAGCGAGGGTTACATATGTCTGCAGACGGAATTCGGGAGACTCGCAGGACACTGGCTTCAGGACAAGGACTAGATAATGGTGATTAGTTGCAATCCCTGAGCAACCCTAGCCACTTCGAAAGCGGGGATCTCAGATCGCAGCCCCCCAGGGATGGCGAGGTCTAATTTGGGTCCGCGCGTGGCGTCAGTGCTGGGCCCCCCAGCAGGCCTCGAAAGTGGCGACAGTTTCACAGATCGCAGCCCCCCAGGGATGGCGAGGTCTAATTTGGGTCTGCCCGTGGCGTCACTGTGCTGGGCCCCCCAGCAGGCCTCGAAAGTGGCGACAGTTTCACAGATCGCAGCCCCCCAGGGATGGCGAGGTCTAATTTGGGTCCGCCCGTGGCGTCACTGTGCTGGGCCCCCCAGCAGGCCTCGAAAGTGGCGACAGTTTCACAGATCGCAGCCCCCCAGGGATGGCGAGGTCTAATTTGAATCTGCCCGTGGCGTCACTGTGCTGGGCCCCCCAGCAGGCCTCGAAAGTGGCGACAGTTTCACAGATCGCAGCCCCCCAGGGATGGCGAGGTCTAATTTTGTCCGCCCGTGGCGTCACTGTGCTGGGCCCCCCAGCAGGCCTCGAAAGTGGCGACAGTTTCACAGATCGCAGCCCCCCAGGGATGGCGAGGTCTAATTTGGGTCCGCCGTGGCGTCACTGTGCTGGGCCCCCCAGCAGGCCTCAAAAGTGGCGACAGTTTCACAGATCGCAGCCCCCCAGGGATGGCGAGGTCTAATTTGGGTCCGCCCGTGGCGTCACTGTGCTGGGCCCCCCAGCAGGCCTCGAAAGTGGCGACAGTTTCACAGATCGCACCCCCCCAGGGATGGCGAGGTCTAATTTGGGTCCGCCCGTGGCGTCACTGTGCTGGGCCCCCCAGCAGGCCTCGAAAATTGCGACAGTTTCATAGATCGCAGCCCCCAAGGGATGGCGAGGTCTAATTTGGGTCTGCCCGTGGCGTCACTGTGCTGGGCCCCCCAGCAAGCCTCGAAAGTGGCGACAGTTTCACAGATCGCAGCCCCCCGCAGGCAAGACAGGAGGAGGCAAGAGGGAGACGGGACGGGAAGGAGGAAGTGGAGACCACACTGCTCTATTCAAAACGAATACCCAACCAAGGAGGGTTGGGAAAAATACTATTCCCCCCCGAAAGTTGCACGAAATGTAATTCGGAGAACGCCAGCCCGTCGGGTTTGGCAGTGTTCGTGTAAGACGGCGGCCAGCTGGGGGAGGAGGAGGCGGAGGATGGGGGAGGCGGAGGGGGGGGAGGAGGAGGAGGAGGAGGGGAGGAGAGGAGAGAAGGAGGCGGAGGAGGGGGAGGGGGGGGAGGAGGAAGAAAAAGAGGAGGAGGAGGAGGAGAGGAGGAGGAGGGAGGAGAGGAGGAGGAGGAGGAGGAGGAGGAGGAGAAGGAGGAGGAGGAGGAGGAGGATGGGGAAACGGAGGAGGATAACGAGGAGGATGAGGAGGAGGAGGAGGAAGACGAGGAAGAGGAGGATGATGATGATGATGATGAGGAGGAGGGAAAAATGGAGGAGGAGGAGGAGAAGAAAACCGAGGATGAGGAGGAGGAACGGAACAGAAGGACCCGCGGGGGAGTACGATGATGATGATGATGATGATGATGATGATGATGATGATGATGATGATGATGATGATGATGATGATGACTATGAGGAGGATGAGGAGGACGAGGAAGGAGGAGGCAAAAGGAAGAAGAGGAGGAGGGAGAGCGGCGGGAATAAATGGAGGCGAAAGGGAGGGCGATGGCTCCGGGAGCTGGGCGGCCAAAGGGGGGAAGGGGGGGGGCTTCAAGCCCCCCCCCCCTTTTGCACCAAGGGAGGGAGGGGGGGGGGCTTCCAAAGCCCCCCCCCTTTCAAAGGGGGGGGTGGCTCACCCCAGCTCCATTAAAAGGAGGGAGGGGGGGGGGTAGCTTGGAAGCCCCCCCCCCCTTTCCGGCCACGAAAAGGGAGGGGGGGGGGGTAGCTTCCGAAGCCCCCCCTCATTTCAAAGGGGGGGGGGTGGCTCACCCCGGCTCAATTAATGGGAGGGAGGGGGGGGTAGCTTGGAAGCCCCCCCCCCTTTCCGGACCACGAAAAGGAGGGGAGGGGGGGGGGCTTCCGAAGCCCCTCCCCCCCTTTAGCAAGGAAGGGGGGAGGGGGGTAGCTTCAAGCTGGGGCCCCCCGTTTAGTCTATCGGGCCCCACGAGCGCGCTCTATCAAACATCCCATTCTGGTACTTTCTTGATGCTCAGATATCTTTCTGGCGGTCAAGGAAGAAGCAGGTTGGAACGTCCTAACCTTAGGTCGGGTATGTCCTCCTGCAGGCGGATTTGTGACAAAACATTAACAATGTTTAAAACATACTTTATTTCAAAACAATACTCAAAAATACTCAAACAGCGTCCCCAGACTATTGTTTGACCATTCCTGCACATTCCTCGTGTAGAGGGACACGCCCGACTGAATCACAACCCCAGAGGCCGCGAACGGCACAGACCAGACGCGCCAGTCAAAACTTTTGTCCTGACGCGAGGGGGACTGGGCATGGGGGCCGGGGCCCCTGGGGCCCCTGAAGCCCCCCTCGCCCTGCCCCGCAGCTCAGCGCACCCCGGCGACTCGGCGACGGCAAGGCAGGATCAATCAACAACGCATCATGAGATCGGCTCGAACCGGAATGTGCGCTGAACCGGACTGCACCTGTGCTTAACCAAAAAAGGGCCCCCAACCCTTTCTGAGGGGACCTAAGTTAGGAGGGCCAGAAGCATCAGGGATAGGGGGTCTTTCCTGCAGATGTACCAGCCCAAACCGCCCAGAAATTGTATCCATAATGCAAGGATGGGGCCAAAAGCGAGGCCACGTCTTCTCCACTGCTAATAGGGTTAGGGGTTCTATTATCCTCGATGAAATCTGCACGGAATCGAAACCGAAACGCAGCGGCCGCGCCAGGATGCACAGCAACAGCGCCATATGCGAAAGCATCGGGTCACATCTCGGACCGCCGGAGAATTCTCGGAAGCGAGTCGGTCCGGCCGGCCGGAAACTCGAGAAGTACTGCATCGACATCGCATCGGATCGAAACCCAAACTCCCGACGCCATGATTTTTTGATGATGTCGACCCCGGGACCAGTTATTCATTCCGAGTCGTTTGTTGACGGTCCCAAGGGCCGGTAAGAGCCCCCAGAAGCCGAAAATGTAGGAAAACCTCCCGTCATGATTTTTGTCACGACTCGAGAGGGTCTGGGAACGGGCCCTGGCAAGCCGGCCCGATCGCGCCTGCGCCTCGCAGGGGCCGCCCCTCGCGCAAGACCTGCCGGGCGGGTTATGATGGTGATGCTGATGCTGATGCTGATGCTGATGATGCTGATGATGATGATGAGGAGCTCCACTTCCACGTCCGCACCATGGCGGGCAGATTCTGATGATGATGAGGAGGAGGATGATGATGCGCAGGACCTGCCCGGCGGGAGGACGTAGGCCTCGCCCGCGCCGTCCTCCTCGCCCGCGGGCCCGGCGGCGGCCGGCTGGGAGCACAGGAGCGCCACGAGGAGCACCTCTGCGAGGGGCGGGCACGTGCGTGCTCCCAGACCAGGGCCCCCTCGCGTCGCCCCCCCCCCAAAAAGAAGCGTCGAGCTTTCGGTCGGACATGTCCCCTTGCAGGCGGATTTTGGAGGAACAATAAAAAGAATAGCCCAAAAGTGCTCAGACATAGCTGAAAACTTGTGAAACATCGTCCCGAGACTATTTTTCTCATATGTTTGAACATTCCTCCTGTAGTAGAGGGACATGCCCGACTTAAGACCAGAGCCCCCTCGCGTCGCCTCCCAAACATCGGGGCGCGCAAACGTGGATTGGCGATCCATGGATTTGCCGCGCGATCGCCGAATCCAAGGATCGGGAGAGGTGCCCTCCACAAAATGCGGCCGGTGCCGCCTCGTTCGGCGGCGGAAAGCTCCGATTCCCCGTGGGAACGGGACCCGTCGTTAACCCACGCCCCCTTGATCCATGTTTCGGGGATGGACAGACCTCCCTTTAGTAAAACGTGGTTTAGTGAAGACGACCTCGGGCCCAAACCTGGCGGGCGCAAGCCTGGAAAATAACGGCCGCGGCGCCCTCTCGAGAACCGAAAAAGGACAATTCACTAATCGACGTGTCAGGGTAGGAGGTCTGTCCACCCCCGAATGTCTGCGATCGCCCGAAAAAGTGGAAGCTTCGAGCTTCGAGGCTCGAGGAGTTTTGGGACCCCGGGAGGCTTCTCTCGTCGCCACGGCTCGCCTCCGAATGCCTCCGTGGCAACTCACGGGAGCCTCCCAGACCTGACTACCTACCAGACCACCCCAACCCAACCCGAAGACCCGAATTTGACCCGAATTTCGGGTTGGGGGGGGTACGGATACCATGTGATTTTTCAACGTTCCCCGACCCCCCCCCCACTGGAAATGGAAGGCAAATTGAGGGCTTCGGGTTGGGTTGGGGTGGTTTGGTGGGTGGTGAAGACCATCTTGTAAGCTCTTGCGCATCGACGCTAGTCGACGCTAAATCGAGGACAATCGACGCTAACCGACGCTAAATCGGCGCTATCTCCTCGACTCCCAAGCGCCAATCGACGCGAATCGGCGCTAAAGGCGGAATTAAGAGGGTACACCAGGCTCCCATGATTTGCCACCGGAGAAATCTGGTCAGAACGCTCCTCAGGAGAGGTCAGGGGGTCGATTTGCAACCCACAACCTAAGCACCCTCGCGTCGTGAAAAGATCACGCCGGGGGGCTGTCTCGTGTCTTCGATCTCCGGGGGGCCCTCGACGGGCCCTGTGGGGCCGCTAAAAAATCACTATACGGATGAAAAGCTGGTCCTTGGAGGCTGCTGGGTGGTCTTAGCTGGATAAGACCCTGTTTCTTATTATTCGCAATAACAAGCGTAATCTGGCGAGGGGGGGAGTTCGCCCCCCCGATCACATCACAGCGGAAGGCCGCCAGAAATATTAGGACAGCTTCGAAGAACCCGTAGAACATCTCTTTACAAACGTGGGCAAAATGGCGTGACGTGATCCAGGGGGGTGGGCAGGGGGAGAGGGAAGGGAGAGGGCCGATCACGGCTGTCATCGCCCAGACATTGGCAAAACAAGGCTCAAAGGGGGCGCTAATTGGCAAGTCGACTCAAATGCAAGCCCACCCCAGAGTAGAGAAACTCGGGCTCGACCAAACCGGTGTGCTCGCTCTCGTTTTGCTTTGGTTCTCTCGGGGATGGACAGACCCCCCTTTAGTAAAACGTGGTTTAGTGAAAACGACCTGCGGCCCAAACCTGGCGGGCGCAAGCCTGGAAAATAATGGCCACGGCGCCCTCTCGAGAAACGAAAACGGACAATTCACTAATCGACGTGTCACTGTTGGGGGTTCTGTCCACCCCCGATTCTCCATCGTCGTGTCTTCGCTCCGCCCTCGCTGCACAGCGACGTCGAAACGAAGAGGGCCCACGAGATCGCCAGGACACTGTTCGGGTCGACCCCTGGCGCCGAAACTCGGTGGACCCAATAGGGGGTCCAGCTGAAAGGGGTTGGTGCAATAGCTTGTGTCGGGGAGACGTAAGACCCGGGTACGGGGGACTCGGAAATCCCCGACGAGGTCGTCAAAAAAATGACGAGGCCGAGCCTGCATTTTGACGAGGCCTCCCGCTGCAAACATCCCACGAAACTCCTCCTCGTCAAAATGCGAGGCGCGGTCGTCAAAAAACGATGGCGAACCCGAATCCTGGCAAACCCGGGTCTTGCGTTCCCCCGATTGTGGGCAATCGTGCTGCACGTGCACTGCGCCAGAAAAACGAATGCATTGCACGCGAAAGCCCAGAGCAATACAGTCGGCCCGGATTGGTAGGTCGACCCTGCAAAAGCAAAGGTACCCCTTGTGTCCTGTGTCTCTCGACCCATGCCTCCCGCATTCATGTGGCAATGTGGCCCCCGGAAGGGTCTTGTGTCCTCTCGCGTGTCCTCTCCAATCAAGTCCGACTGTACACTTGCGCACCGGAATGTACTGTACGCACCAAAGCGTTTGCAACCCCACCAACTTACTGCACCGAGTCCAGTGCACCGCCCCCCTGTCGCTGGTCCCCCTCTCGACCAGGCGAACGACTGGCCCGTCCCTCCGAGCAGTGCCTGGCCGTGGCGGCGAAAGACGCGCCCACCGGGACCCAGAGTATCGCAGTTACCAGGTCGTTCGCTCGGTCGCGAGCTCGGCGGCGACCGAGCGGCTCTCTACCTCGGTCGCGACCGAGCTCGGGGATCTACTCAGGTGAGCGAAGCATGACGTAAACATAATAACTCGGAGGTCCGCGCGGATTTCTTGGATCCGCGCTGACTCCCCTGGCGCGCTCCGCGAACCAGGGATCCAGCCCCGATCCGAGAAATCCGCGCGGACCTCAGAGTTTTTATGTTTATGTCATTCTTCGTTCCCCTACTACTGACTCAGGTCAATCCAGACCCAAATCAATCCAAACCTGGGTCAGATCCTGCAAGATCCTGCAGGATCCTGCTGGATCCTGCACCCAAGCCCGGGTCAACGCGACCCTGGCACCGCAGGATCCTGCAAGATCCGGCGCTCTGACTGACCCCCGTTTGCACTGACTCCCGTCTGTTGAGCCCCGACGAACCCAGAATCGGTCGCCACCGATGCCGGCACCGATCGCGACCAATACTGGTCGCGCCCGGCGCCGAAGTTTTCTGAAGCAGAATCGGCAGCGGCAGATCTCGTCGGTCGCGACTGGAACAGTCCAGCACCCAAGGATCGGCTGTACGCGAGGGACACCCTGGGAAAGAGTAACTAACCTGTGGTGCGCGGCTTATATCAGGGGGGCGTAAGACCCGGGTACAGGGGACTCGGAAATCCCCGACGAGGTCGTCAAAAAAATGACGAGGCCGAGCCTGCATTTTGACGAGGCCTCCCGCTGCAGACATCCCACGAAACTCCTCCTCGTCAAAATCCGAGCCGCGGTCGTCAAAAAACGATGGCGAACCCGAGTCCTGGCAAACCCGGGTCTTACGCTCCCCCGATTATATAGCGGGGGACGCGGGGTGGCCAGACTCAGGCGCGCAAGCCGCTGCCACCGCTTCGCGTTCGGCGATCGGGGGACCCGGATGGGCTCGCACCGCTTGTCGCTCTGGCGAAAGTCGCTCTCACGTCTACAGTGGGGGCCCAGGCCAAGAAACACCCTGCTGGCCTCCAGGGTGCCATGGGCTTCTTGGGTTCCGATGCTCTTGCGACGGCAAGCGCGACGTGCCCACGCCGAAAATCCATGGACGTCCCGGCGTCTCAGGGTCGGGTTTCTTTCGGGGGCCCCCAAACTGTGTGGTGACCACACCGCGCGGTGAGCCGGTGGGGATTCGGGGTCACCGCACGGTTTTGGGACTCGGGTCGTTCTCCGAGGACGTCTCGGGCGACAGGGGCCTCCGGGGTCCCGAGACCCTGCGGTGACGGACCATGCGGTGAGGTCTCGCGGGATTTCGAGGGCACCGCACGGTCTGTCACCGCACCGTTTCGGGACTCCAAAGTCTTGTGGGAGGGTTCTTGTGGACCGGCCTCCACGCCTCCACTGTTCGGGTCGGGCGAAAGGGGGGGATAGCAAAGGGGGGGTTTGAAAATCAGCTCACGTAGCTGATTTTCCCGGCGCCTCCCGGCGCCGGAAGCGGCTATGCATCGAGGAATGGGCCCCTCGGTGAGGCCGAAACCAGCTGCATGCAGCAAATTTCGTAACCCCCCCTTTCCCAATCCCCCCTTTCGCCCGGCCCGAACTGTGGTCGACATGACCAGGGCTCCCTCCCCGCTCTGCAGGCCGGGGCCAGGCGGAATGGCCGCCTCGGCCCCCAGGCCGGCCCTGGGCCGGTCCCGGGGAGCGAGGCCGGCGGCCTCCCCTCGGAGTCCATGCTGGGTCGGGGCCTCCGACCGGGCTGGAGAGACTTTCGGGTCGGGCGAAAGGGGGGGATAGCAAAGGGGGGGTTTGAGAATCAGCTCACGTAGCTGATTTTCCCGGCGCCTCCCGGCGCCAGAGGCGGCTATGTATCGAGGAATGGGCCCCTCGGTGAGGCCGAAACCAGCTGCATGCAGCAAATTTCGTAACCCCCCCTTTCCCAATCCCCCCCTTTCGCCCGGCCCGAGACTTGGGCGACAATCAAGAACGAGTCTTCCCTGAGATCCTGGCGACTCCATGTTTTCGAGCTGGGCGTCTTCGCCTGATGCTCTCGTGCCCCAGAGGACCCTGACAGATCGATCCGGCTGGAAAAATGACGCAGAAAGATGGGGTCTGGGGCTCCCGAAGTGGATGTTCACGATGCTGCATGTTTTTCGCTACGTCGGATCTCAGGGTTCCGCGAGATGACATAGCGACCTTACACGGTGGCTTACGCGGGCAGCCAGCGTGGCACGCCACACTGGCGACGGGGGCGCCTACGCGCGACCTCACGCGGGTAAGCTCACGCGCCAACGTCGGCGCAGACGACCCCGTTTGGTGGCGACGCTCACTTGGGGGGCTGAACTCGATGGACCTCGCGAAAAAATCTGCCATGACGCGGGGGTAATGGCAAGTCCGCTCAAAATCGGTCCCCGGACACTTCCTGGGTTAGGAGGCAACTGTAGTGTACTGGGAGGTCTTCGTCGGAAGAGTTAAGGAGGATTAAGCCCCTTTGGGGGGCTGTTACGCCGGAGTGGGCCACGGATGAAGCGGGATTGAGCCGGATTGCGCGGCAGTAAGCGGAATTAAGCTGGAGCAGACGGATTAAACCGGATTAAATTACGGACCAGGGCAGAATCAGAATTTGACGTCCCAGGAGTTGCATCCGAACCTGGGGTCCATCTGGCACAATGCTTCACCCACAACGTGCTCTTGAGAGCCCGGCAGCGGCCCCCAGAAGCCGAACACTTGCTGCTCGCTGGAGCCAATGCTGCGCCACCCGAGGCCGACCCCCAGGGTGGGTTCCTGACACCACGGGAATCGTTCCACCTTGAACAACCGCCCGCTTCGGGGCCCCCCGCGGGGCCACCACGGACCGATCCGGCTCGAGAGGTGCGGCAGAGAGATGGGGTGTATACGTAAGGCCCCGGGCTGCGCAGCGTCGGAGCTCGGGGCTGGACCCGTTTAACGCGAGCGTTTTCTTGTTCGGCGTCTCGGCATTGGGCGAAGGGGGGGGGGTCTGGCTCCGGACCCCTGCTTGTAGCGCGACTGTTTGCAACAATGCGCCCCATGGGGGAGGGACTCCGCCTGCTCGAAACAGGCGCCCCAAAAACAGCCAAGATCCGCTCCAGTGGGGGGGAGGGTGGGTGCGAGGGCCCGCGCGGATCGGCAAAACGATGAATAAGAAAACGCCCACTTTCCCGCCGGCGGGCGCCAGGACAATTCGCTGCATGGCTCGAGATGTCTCTCGTATAGGAGGGCGTGTGCTACACGCCTGCACCGGCCCTGGCTCTGGGCCAACCCTGGGCCCAGGATGGGCCCTCACGGGCGCTGCTGGCTTGCACCAGGATCGGGGGCGGCCAAGAGAGGGGCGTCCAAGAGGGGGGGGGGCACAAATCATGGCCGGCGGCACGTGCGCAGCCCGGGGGGGGGCCAGGGACGTATTGACATAAGAAGAGGCGCCATGAAACCTGAGGAGATATCATGCCCCCCGCCATGATATCCACACCCCCTCAGTCCTCGCCACCCTCTTTGCCGCCCACGACAGGAGGGTACACGCACCGATCACGGGCCCAAGATTGCCCTTGCCAGGATCGCCCAGATCATTGGATACTGTGTTTTTTCGGTCGCGAACGGCAGCGACTGATCGGCACTCCAAATCGGTCGCGACCGAGTGATTGCGACAAGTGTTGAAATTTCAAACAAAGTCGGTAGCGACCGATCCCGTCGGTCGCGACTGGAAAATTCCCGGAAAATTCCAGTATACACAGATCAGGGCGGTGTAGGTGTATAGGTGACGCCCGTCGATTACGCTTCTTGGATGAGCGGCGTGTGGTTGGAACAGCCAGGGGTGTTGAGCGCGTGCCGATGAGGGATTCCAATCGGCTCGAGCCCGAACAGCCGCGCCCGGAGAACGGAGGAAGGCTGCCCAGGCCAGAGCCAGACTAGAGGAAGGCGTGGACACGGCGAGTAGGCTCGCGCGGGCGGCAGGACAAGAAGTCCAGGGCAATCCCAGAACGTCGTCACTTCAGGAGGCAACTCCTGGAAGGTCTTCGGAAGAATCAAGGCCTATAAAGCCAGATTGAGGGGCCATGAGTTAAGCCGGAGCAGTCCAGCTTAAGCCTGGGACGGAGCCAGGTTCAGCCGGATCAAGCAGGACCAAGCGGGGCTATGCCAAATCAAGCTGGTTTACCAACACGGACAACGGAAAGCGCGCTCTGCGAGCGATCTGTTCGTCGGGAGGGATGAACTTGGGAGAATCCGAGGGTGTTGGCAATGCCCGCAGCAGATGACGGAAATAGCGAGGTAGAGCGTACTTTATATTCGCGGCCATAATGGGCGTCACTTACATAGGACGACGAAGATGTTCCTCCTGAGGTGGAATTGGCGATGATGAATTCGCGGGATAACATCGGCGCCGCCAAACGGACGGCGTCTGGACGAGCTGCGTGCAGCAGCCGGGAGGAGAGAGATGTATTCATGTTGAGTGGGGCCCGCGCGCGCGAAAAGTTGATGGGAATGCGCGAGACAGCGCAGGACCCATCCTGGGAAATTGACGACCGAACCCCCCTCCTTCGTAGAATCTTAACACGGGCGGGTTCTGGGGTCCGCGGATCCGATGTCTTGTGGTTCCCCGACGAAAATTCGCCGGCCCAACGGGCCAAAGGCGTGTCAAGATCTCCGGCAACTGGTTAACAATCTTTCTAGCTCGCGCGCGCGGGGCCGTCCCTGGGGGTCCCCAGACGCAAAATACCCGCGCAAGTCCTGGCCAAGTCCCGGCAAGGTCCCGGGCAGGTCCTGGCCTGGTCCTGGCAGGCTCCCAAGAGCGCCCCAGGAGCGCTTCAAGTGGCCTCCGAGGGAGCCCAACATGGTCCGAGACGGTCCGGGAGCGATGCAAGACGCTGGAGATTGCTTCCAGACAGCCCAAATCGCCTTCAGGACGCCCCAAGAAGCCTCCAGGAGACGTCCCAAGAGGGCCAACAGAAGCAGAAATTAGTGATTTTCCGTCAATTTCTGACGGTTTTTGGCGTTCTCGCCTTCTTGGCTTACCGGTGCTCTAAGAGGGCACAAGAAGCTTCCAAGTCCGCTCCAAGACGGCCCACGAAGCCTCCAAGAGGGCCCCAAGACGGCCCAAGATGGCCCCAAGACAGCCCAAGAGGCGCCCAAGACGGCCCAAGAGAGCCCCAAAATGGCCCCAAGAGGGGCCCAACCAAGAAGGGTACCAGGAACCGAGAAGTCCAGCCTTCAGCACCAAGAGGCCCCCAGGAGGCCCCAAAGGCCCCAAGGGGCCCCCACGAGGCACCACAAGAAGCTCCAAGAGGCCCCGAAGAGGCCCCAAGAGGCCCCAACACGGCCCCCAAGAGGCCTCAAAACTGCCTCCCAAAGGCCCCTGAGAGGCAAACCACGAGAGCCCAGCCAACATCCGTGAGGCCTCTGACCCGCCATCCACCGCCTCCGAAAAATGGCAGCCGCCCAACCGCACCGCATTGACAACAACACCCCGACAAACGACAGCGAGAAGGCAAGATGGGCCGGCGGAGTGAGCGAAGCAATCAAATTAATAACATATGTATAGATAACGTCTAAGCATCGGATCCGCCGAAAAAAAAGCCGGACGCGGATCCAGACAATCCGAACACGGATCCGTGCGGACGGACATCGGATCCACCGATACAAAAACCAAAACCAAAATTGGACCCGCGTGAACTTCATTGGATACGACGGCGATTATTCCATACGCGTCTGTTCAATACGTGAAACCGTCGTTCCGGGCCCACGAGGAAAAAACTTTCGTTCTGGATGTCTGCGGGGGTGGGGTGGGGGGGGACGGAAGGGGGCATAACGTAGCGCCCCCCCCCCAGACTGGGGTCCCAGACGCACTGGGTTAAAACATGATCAACCCACGAGCCCAGAAAAGAATACAGAAATGTAAGGCGTGACAGTGTTTTTTCAAGACAGCTGATTGGGCGACGGGCAATTGGAATGCTGAATGTATCGATTTGATGTACCGTACCAAGGGCTGTGCAGCGCTGCGCCGTGCTGAATTGCGATGTGCCATGCCGCGATTGTGCTCTATAGCGTTGTTGGTCGAGCCCTCCTTTGCATCCAAGTCCTGGCACGCCCTCTTCGGAGTCGAACATAGCGATTGCGTGCAGACATCTTCAAAGCATGCGATGTCCTCAACATCGCCTTGGTATCGCTTCTGAAAGGCCTGCCGACGGCCCAACGGAGGCCGCGTAAGCGCGCAAGCTTCTCGTCAATTGAAGGAGTCTTGGGCTGTCTGCGGGCTTTTTTGGGTGCCACAGCCCGCGTAAGCTCTGTATCAGGCCCGCGTAAGCTCCGCATCAACGCGTAGGCTGCACGTAAGCCTTAGGTACGTCCAAGATGGCCTGAGCGAGGGCCCAAGATGGCCGCCAAGATGCCCCAAGAGGCTCCCGCTCCCCAAGTGTCTGAAGAAGTAACAAAAATGCTCCAGGACGGCCCAAGAAGGCCTTAGAGCGCTCCAAAACGTTGCGCGCTGGCACAAGAGCGCTCTAAGACGGTCCACGATGGCCCACGGGCGATCCAAGATAGTCCAAGAGCGCTCCAAAACACTCGGAGACATTCCAAAAGCGCTCCAAGACGTCACAGGATGGCCTCAAGGCGGCCCAATAGGCCCCAAAGACGCCTCAAGAGGCCCCGTGAGGACTCACAAGAGGGCCTGAGGATGCTAAATCAGTAGATTTGTGTTAGGTTGTTGCAAGTGTTTGATCTTCTCGCTGATTCGGGCCAAGAACGCCCCGAGACAGCTTTGGAAGTCCACGAGATCAAGACGGTCCAAGAGAGCTCCAATTGACGGCCTAAGGGAAGGCCAAGAGTGCCCAAAGAGGCTCACCGCGAAACAGGACAAAAAGGGCCACAACGCGACTCTCCAGTCAAGAGAGCAGGGAGAAGGGAAACCATGAGAAGGGCGAGGGGAAGATGGGAAAGAAGAGGAGAAATGACGGATACGCCAGCGATCTCTTGTGCTCTGAAAGTGAGTGCGCGTTCCGTCCCCGTGCCAAGCAGGTCTACCGGCGCTGATGCTGAATCTAACCAGCCAGGAGTTGCATCCTGCGTCACCAGCTCCTCTGGTAACGTCTGGCCGAAGGGACGCAAGCCCAGACATGTGATGTCCTGATTGTTTCAGTGCGGGGTCCCTGGAAACCCCGATCCTTGCCCCAGGACCTTCTTTTCATCCCGAGTCGGCTCCAGGCAAGGGTCCCCACGGGGCCGCAGACAGCAGAAGATCTGCCGTCGTGATTCTGGCCACGACGAAAGCATGCCGGGGAGCACAAAGAGCCTGGGATGAGCGAGAAGATGCTCGCCGCCCACCCGGGCCCCTCGCCCCCAAGAGAGCGCGCGGGGGAGGGGCGGGTCAGGGCCGAGTCCAGAGGCACCCCCAGGGCGTTGGCGCAGCGCGTCGGCACAGACTGCGAGCACAAGGCTCATGCGGCGGCAGGCGAGCGCGCCGGCGACGAGTACCCATCGGTCGGAAGAAGTGTTCCGCGGCAGCTCGCGGGAGCCTTCCCATGCCAGCTTGCTGGCTCTTGCCAGTCCGTGACGGTCGACGCAAAACGACGCTAATCTTCACTAGATCGACGCTGACGACGCTCATCGGCGCTAAATCGGCGCTGAAACGGCGCGATCCCATCGATTACCAGACGCTAGTCGGCGCCAGTGCACTCTAAAGACTGAACGAACCACGAGGGCCCTCAAGGCTCCCATGATTTGCTACCGAAGAAGTGGGTAGAAACATTGAGTAGGAAAGCGTTGAAAATGTTGGCTTCTACCCAGCCCGGAAAGAGGAGGGAAGAGGGCAAACCGTTGGACTCTTGAAGTAGGAAGGCGCGTAAAGCAGGTTGGCATCTGGGAACTCAAAAACACGCGCCTTCAACGAGCGGTTGGTAATATGGCGGCCCTGAGGCATCAGTGCCTCCACCCGTCACTTGGAGGCACCCCGTCTCAACCTAAAAAACCATGTCTGCCGATGCCTGGGCCCAGACTGGATTTGCTGTGGGGCCTCGGCGTAGTGGTCGGTTCTCAACGTCGCCGCGTCATCACCGTCCTCGTCACCAAAAATATCCTCACCACCTGTGTCTCCCATTCTCTCTCTCCAGAGCGAGCGTCGGCCCTGACAACAGTCAGGCAACGAGCGAATAGTGGCCACAGCGTTCAGCGGAGTGCCAAACGAACTACGTCGGCGGACGAGAGTTAGCTCGCCCGCCTGCGAGCGGTGCGAAAAGCTGGCTACGCCATCATCCCCTTGTGCGTAGCACAGTATACCGACTCATCCGAATACTCGCCCTCCCCTAACTCCTTTTCCCTCCTTGCCCTCCCTCTCCCCCAACCCTTCGTTTATGACTTCGCCTGCGAATTCTTTCCGACGATCGTCTACTCGACGACTCGACTTCCCACAACCGCCGACGACATGAGAGTCGAATGCGAAGGCGAAGGAAGCAGGAGAAGACTAGACAAGGAGAAGGAGAAGGAGAGAAAAGGCATGGACGAGGAACGAGGGAGGAAGAAGGAGGGTGGATGGTGATGGAGGGCAGAGGAGGGCGGAAGGAGGAGGACGAGAGAGGCGAGAAGCATTGTGGCGGCCGAAGGGAGGCGTGGGGGAGGGAGGAGCGCAGAATTTGGAGACTCTCCTGGAAGCTCCCAGAGCGGGAGGAGAGGAGGAAGAAGGACGACGAGAGCAAGGGAAAGACGAAGCCAGGGTGAGGGTAACTGATTCGAGAATCTCTCAAATCCAGCGGCTCTGGACAATGTCTCGGGCGCCGCCGCCTTCTGAGAGCGTTCCAGACGACTCTAAGAACTTTCCGGCACGCTCTGGAACGGATTTCTCCTCGTCCCAGCCCCCTCCTCCTCCTCC